AAATATCAAGCATAAGCAATGGTTACCCCTTCACTGTAACTCCAATCATAATGTCACCCCACACGACGATGCGCTAATACTGAAATTTAAATGTGATAAGCTAATTTACCAGAACGGACCTATATGAGTCCGTAAATTACGAGATAAACGAACTTATGACTTTAGGGCCACCACTATTCGCCCTAAAGTCTCCAACAATAGCAGCAACCAACCGAGCGAAAAAATGAATTATGAATGCCGAGGCAAAATCGTCCAACTTTTTCTGCATAACCTGAAACACGAAAACAAAAATATCAGTATGTTCAGGAAATCAAAGTGAACAAACTGCCTGAGGGAACCTCCTGTAGAAGACGCCGCACGCGCCCTCACGCGCCACCGACAGTCTCTGCGCGTGGGCTTCACGCGCTATAGTCGAGAAGCTCCTCGACTTGCTGAACAAGCTGGTGGTCTTAGATTTTTCAAATGATCAATGGTTTGGCCGGAATCGGAGCTTGCAGGTTCGGTTTTTTATGTTGAAAACTGTCCAATTTTTCAACAGCTTTTTTCTTCCGATTTTGGGTCTGTTTGAGGTCGATTTTTAGCCTGAAAAACACTCCAACCTCGCTCTGATAACAAATGTTAATTTTAGGGGCTCCAATCTTCAATTTCCGAGCTCAATCCACCCCAAACCGACACCACAAAGTTCAACCTATATCCCAGTTCAACCTATATCCCAAACCTCAAAACACTCAAGAAACCGGTTGCTCCAACTATAAAAGTCAGCCCACAAAGGACTTGGTGTTAAGAATAAAGTAGCCCCAATGCTCAATCACCAAGGTTAGAGAAGGAGGGAGAAAATGGATCACCAAAGAAGGGCACAAAGCCAAGGCACAAAGCAAACTGGGAATCGATTTCTCTTCTCTCCAAAAACGGCTGACCTCAATTTCACACACTTAGCAACAGTAATGGGCAAGGGGTTTAATAGATGAACCTTAGGTTTGGGTCTTATGTCAAATGATAGGGCCCAATAGGAAAGGGTATAAGTGGGCTAACAAACGTAAAACCATACAGGGTCTTTGGGGTTGGGCCATGAGCAACCCTAATTAAATTAGGCTACTTCAAATGGCCCAATGGGATGTGGGTTTGGATCGAACTATTGTGGTGTCGATATTTCTCTTCATTCATC